GCCACCTTCAGTGCCTGCATTTGTGCTCCAAGAAGTCAAATCCTGCTGCTAACCACACTCCCACACCACCTTAAGGGATGCACAGCCAAGGGAATATATTTCCAGGAAGGGTGGGAACACCAGAGCTCCAGCCCTGAGCATGGTGCTGGTGAGGATTGCTGTTTGAGCCCCCAGGGAGCAGGATTGACCCACAGCTGCTGCAAATCCTGGCCAGGGGATTAGAAATAAACCCCTAAGCCTGGCTCTGAAAGGTCGGCCGGTGTGTAACATTTAGAAAAGCCTCAAACTGTTATTTCAAGGAGAATTATTTTTTTTTTTTCTCCATAGGAAAAGCAAATATCTAAGTTGCTGTGGAAAAAAAAAAAAAAAAAAAAATGCTGTTCCTGACGCTCCCCTGTGGATGAGGATTTGCTGTCCATGAACTGGGGTATGCAGTGAGAACAAGCCTGGAGCAGAATGGTAAATGGCAGCAGCACTGTTATTACCCTAATTAATTAATTAATTACTCTAATGAATTCATTAATAGCTCTGTGTGTGGCAGCCCTGGGGCCAGGGGAGGGTGTTGGAGCAGGACATGGGGCAGCTGGGCTGATTTAGGAAGCCCAGAGCTGTTGACAGAAGAGGTTTGCTCCTCCTGGTGCCGCATTAGCTGCTCTGTTGGGGTGGTGAACCCTGACTTTGTTCTCCTGGGGCTCTCCCGGGTGCCACCACTGCGGGTGTGGAGCTGTGGGGAGCTCAGGGGTGGCAGGAGATCCCTGGAGAGGCACAAAATGCACCTCCAAGGGCTGGCTCCTCACCTGCCACCGCTTCTGACGCCCTCTGGGCCACCACGAGCTCGACCTGAGCCAGGTGGGGAGATGTGGATGCCAAACCACGTTGGTGTTGAAGCAAAGGGGATGAAATAATGTGCTGAAAGCCCTGTACTTTGGCAATTTTGAGCCGAAATTGCCGCTGCCAGTGCTTAAACCCTCCGCTCGGGCCTGCTGTCCACTGCTGCCCAGCCCAGGCCTGGGGCCACTTACCAGCACACTGCCTGCTCTCTCAGCCTTTCCAGCAAACATCATTTTTTCCCCATCTCAGAGGAACAAAGTGGAGACAAAAGATTAATCTTCCATGGATTGTAAAATCCTTGGAGTGAGGAGAGTGGCGTCGGCTCAGCGTCGCTGGCAGCCTCTGCTGACTCCGACAGGCTCTGGGGCGGCTCCAGCCATCCCACTCCTCAGCGGGAGCAGTGCAAATCCACGGCTTTTGGGGGAATTACTCCTGATTTCCTCTTGTAGAAGCAAGACTAAAATCAAAACTGCCTGTAGACTTCCATGTCTTGTACAGCGCTCAGCCAGCCCTGGCTGGGTCCTGCTCTTCCTCCCACACCGCAGCCACGGCAAAAAAAAATAAAAAAGAAAAGAAAACAACTCCTCAGTAGCCTGGGAGGTGTTAAATCCATTCCTTTCTTCTTTTTATGGCTCTCTTAAGCGTGTCTACCTCCAGAAGTTTTTGCTGCAGGGGAAGCCAAGATAAATAAAGAGGTTTGCCCTTTGTTTCAGGGCTGACCCACTACAGAAGGGAATCCCCCACACTCGGGGGGCTGCCAGGGATGGAGCCCAGCTCCCTCCACAGCTCAGGATGTCTGTGGACCCTTTGCTTGCACCATTGAGAGTGTTTTCAGTCCTGTTTCCCTCACTGACTAATTTACAGCTTCCAGTCGCTAATGGTTTTCGTGGATTGCTTAATTATAGGTGGGGTGGATGGTGCTGCCTTGTTACCAGGGCTGCCAGATGTTCCCTTTGTAACTCTCATCTCAGTCGCTCCCAACCTTGTCAAACTTTAACCTTTGCAGCTGGGACATGAATTTTGTGCTTTTTTCCAGTACAAGGACTGGCATCACCCGATGGAACTGGGAAAAGCAGGAACAACAGCCTGCACCTGGCCTGGTGGTAGGTGGGACCCTGCTGGACTGGAGGAGCTGCTGGTGTGGGAGAATGTGACAAAAGGGTCAGGAGATGCTGGGGGGAGCAAATGAGGGTCTCCAGGTGGTTCATGCACAGTCACACAGCTTGAGCTTTCTGTGTCTTGTCTGTTCTCCACCTGCACAAAGAGCATTAAACCAGACCTTCACCTTCCCATGAGCAGGTGAGGCAGTTTGTGCTGTAGGGCCTCATCTCAATCATGCCCAGGAGGACACCAAGGACCCTCTTCCCAAAGGCCTTGCTCTAAGGGCAGCATGTTTGCCCTGAAATAGGCTAACAAGGCCTGTCATGAGCTCCCACACAACCTGGGGGATGAGGGGTCCCATCCCACCCCTGCCAGAGCTGCTGCTTTGAGAGTGAGTTTTGGGGATGATCTATTGCACCAGGTCCTCTGTGCCCCTGGTCAAGAGCACATTATGTGTTAATATTTTCACATCACATCAATTCTTCCCAGGCACCTGGTGGAAATCTCTCTACTGAGGACAGGCTGAGGGAACTGGGCCTGTTCAGCCTTGAGAAGAGGTGAGTGAGAGGAGACCTCCATGTCTGTCAGTGTCTGAAGGGTGGATGTCAAGAAGATGGACCAGGCTCTTCCCAGTGGTGCCAAGAAATAGGACAAGAGACAATGGGCAGAAATTGATGCCCAGAAAGTTCTTCCTCAACACGAGGAAGAACTTCTTTCATTTACATTGACCAAGCACTGAACTATCTGCCCAGAGAGGGTGTGGAGTCTCCCTCACTGGAGATATTCCAGAACCCTCTGGGCACACTCTGTGCCACGTGCTCTGGGATGACCCTGCTGGAGCAGGAAGGTTGGACCAGATGAGTTACTGTGGTTTTTGCCAGCCTAATCCATCCTATCCTGGGATTCTGTGAACCACTCAGCCCCACGAGCCAGGGAGCTCTGGGGCAGACTCTGGCCAAGGGCAGCACTATTGCCAGGGGGGGCTCAGCAGCAGAAACAGCACTTTTCCTCCCAAAATGCTCATGAGAGGCAGATAAATAAAAAGACAGAGCTTGAAACAAGGCCAGCCACAGGGCTGGGAGCTGTGCTTCTTGCAGGACCTGAGACAGGCCGGGCTGAGCTCTGGAGCATTCTCTGCCTCCCACGCCTCAAGTGCAGTGAACTGAAAAAAATTACTTTATCAAACTTGAAAACTGCATTTCTTCAGGACCTCCACTCCAGTGGAAGCTGCAAAACATTTTCTATAAATGAATTCATGTAGAAATAAGTAAGCCAGAGCTCCTCCCTGAGATGTCTGCTCCTCATGCTAGCTGCTGTCTCCGGCTCTGCCTTGAGTATGTTTCTCTGGAAATTGGGTTTGTTACCCTCCTAGCTGGAGAGCAGTGCCAGTCACCATCAACTACAGGCTTCTTCCAGCAACAGTGGGAAAACTGGAAGTACCTGAAAAGTCAGAAGTTCACATGGGGAGAGTCACTGGAAGCAGGTTTGAGCTGGGTCATGGAAAAGCTGCTGGAGTGAGGGAGCTGGGTCAGGTGCACTACATTAAAAAGTCCCACAGATGTGGTGGTGGTGGTTACCCTTAGCTGGATTGAAAAATGGGTTTTGGGGGCAACCCTCCTTTTCCAGATCAGGCTAGCTCGTCATGGTGCTGCTGGTGGTCTCTGCTGCACAGGGGAGCTGCTAAAAGCAGTCATTTTGCTGCTGCAGGATGTCATTTAAGCAGCTCGTTGCAAAAAGTGATGTAAAGCCCTTGTGTGGTGTAACTGGAGCCCTGACCCATCTGGGGCCGGGCAGGAAGGGGACAGGGAACTTGGCTAAACAGGGGAGTGAGATGGGTCAAGGCCAGTTGTGCTGTCTAAATCCTGGCAAAAACTCAAGTGCCTCCAGGATAAGCCATTCCTCAAATATGGATGCTCTGCCTTCTGCGTGGAGATGAGGAGCACTGAGGAGTGTGAAGTGGGATGTCCCAGCATGTCTGGCACATACACAGTGAGGCTGGAGCTCAGGTTTTACCACACAGGAGGTCCTTTGGGTCCTTCCTCTGTCTCCCTGCAGTGACAATTTACATCTCACATTTCCAGGGACAAGGGCAGCCCAGCACAACTGCCTCTCTCTGGATACAGTGCACGGATGGCGAGAGTGTCAGTGGCTTCCACAAGTGTCAGGAATCGATTTGTAATTCCAGGGCTCCTGATGCAATCATGCAGTGATAATTCTGATCCCACCAAAATCACTGGACACAGAACTGCTCTGCTTCCAGCAGAGTAAGAGCGGGGCTGGGGCATGCTCAGCTTCCGGCTGGGAGTAGGGTGCTGGAAGGGACCCAGAGAGCAGCACTCTTAGGCAGCCCCCTTAGACCCCACAGCTGAGCTGCACCCATGCAGCATTCCCACCTCCTATTGCTCCTGATTTTTTCTATATTATTTTTTGTGATGGAAACTTCAGTTCTGCTCTTAATTGCTTAAGACACTGCTGCTATTTCCTCTGGACTCTTTCCACTGCCCACAAACCTGCCCACTTCTCAGCCTGGAAATCTGCCAAAACATCGACAGGCTGAGAGCTGGGCTGCTCAGCCTGGAGAAGAGAAGGCTCCAGGAAGACCCTAGAGCCCTGTCCAGTGCCTCCAGGGGCTCCAAGAGAGCTGGAGAGGGACTTTGGACAAGGGCCTGGAGCAACAGGACAAGGGGCAATGGCCTCACACGGAAGGAGAAGAGATTTAGATTAGATATGAGGAGGAAATTGTTCCCTGTGAGGGTGGGCAGGCTGTGGCACAGGGTGCCCAGAGCAGCTGTGGCTGCCCCTGGATCCCTGGAAATGCCCAATGCCAGCTTGGACGGGGCATGGAGCAACCTGGGCTGGAGGAAGGTCCCTGCCCACGCCAGGGGGTGGCACTGGGCGGGCTTTAAGGTCCCTCCCAACCCTTGTCCGGGCCGGTGCGAACACCTCGGGGCTGCCGAGGGGGAAGTGCTGGAGGCGGGGAGCGGAGCGGGGCTGTACCGGGGCGGTACCGGGGCTGTACCGGGGCGGTACCGGGGCTGTACCGGGGGCGGGCCCGGCGCCGGGCGGGCGGAGAGGTGCCGAGGCATCGCCGTGCGAGCGGCGCCCCGTGTGCCTCCTGCGCCCCCGGCCAGCACCCCCGGGCCGGGGCATGGAGGCGGCGCACAGCATCCCCGTGCTCGACGTGCTCCGCCGCTTTGGGGTCAGCGAGAGCTGCGGGCTCAGCCCGGAGCAGGTCCGCCGCAACCGGGAGAAGTACGGCCCCAATGGTCAGTGCGGAGCGCCGGGATCGCCGTGGGATGCGGGGCGGCGGTGGGATGGGGCAGCGCTAACGGGACACCCGCATCCCGCCTGGCACCCTCCATCGGGACCTTCGGGACCGGGATCGGGATGCGGACCCGCACCCTCCCCATCGGGATCGGGATGCGGACCGGGATCCTCCCCGCCGGTCCCGAAAGGTCCGGGCTGCTGCCGTGGGTCCCCCCCGGAGCATCCTCCCGGCGCCGGGTGTGCGGAGGATCGCTGGGGATGTGCCGCGGGACACCTGTTGATTAGGGCAGTATTTATCGGCTTTAATTAAAGGCTAATTACCGCGGGTACGGGCCACCAGGAACGTCGGCAATTAGCGGGGTGTTAATTCTGCTGGCGGAGTGACAGAAAGCGGGGAGGGACAGCAATATCTTGTTTCCAGGAAGGAAAGAGGGGAAGCTCTCACTGCCTGTGGGTGACAGAGGGAAGCCCCAAAACAGCCGTGAGAGGTGTCCTAGAGGGGGGATCTCGCTCACCCCTGCCCTGCTGCGGGGAGCTCCGGCCGTGTCCCGACCCTGCCGTGTGTCCCACGGACCCGGGACACTCCCTGCGAGCAGCTGGGCATCTTCACGGCATTGAGAGGGGGAACTTTTAAACGTGTGCTTTGAAAGTGTTCAGTGTGCCCAGGAGGGGCTGGCTGGGGTGTCTGGACCTACCCAGGTGATTTTAGGGTGGGTTTATTCGGGCTGTGAGCGAGGTCGGCCGTTAACTCTGCGTAGGAAACAGGAGGGTTTAGGGTGGTTTGCTCTAGTGCTTTGGAGCAGTGAGTCCCTTCTCAAACTTCTGCAAGGACACAAGTGTGTAAACTCTCTCCTGGCTTGGAGCTTGTTGCATCTGCTTCTTGCTTGATCCTCGAGGATGAGGCCAGGGAGAGCCTGAGCAGATGCTGGCAGGATTGCTGTCCGCATTTCTATTTGTTGGGAGGGCTGTGGTAGGTGGGATCAGAGGGCTGTGACTCCTCCAGCCCTGAGAGCAGCTGTCCTGTGCTGAGCTGTGCTCAGGGCCCCCCATCCCAGCAGTGCTCCCTGTTCCAGGCAGCTTCAGCTCCCTTCCCTGAGCCAGCATGGTCAGGGCTGGACTTGGGAGCTCTTGCTATGGAGAACCGGCACAAGCTGCAAGCAATGGAGCATCACATCTGCGCCTGGAGGCTTGATTTTGGAGAAGGGCAGCTGGGGACCTGTCTGGTTAACTGGGAGGAACCCCTCTGCTTTGGGGGCTGAAGGCAAAATACATCCTTAATGCAGAATACACCCTTATCCCACAGGTGGTTGGTCTGATCTCAGGGTATAATTGCAGCCAATTTCTGCTTCATGCCCTGGCCCCACAGGATCTTGTGGCTGAAGGGTGTCACCGATGGGCATCACCATCGTGGGGCTCCTGCTGCCTTTGTCCCTCTGTTTGCCCAGGTGAATCATCATCACTGAGTCAGGCTCCTTGGCTGCTCAGTGGCACCGGGCTCTGCCTTGAAAAAGGGAGCTCAAAGGTGTGACATAGGTGCAGAGCAAAGGGTTAGTGGTGGCAATTAGTTTGCCTTTAAATTTATTTTCTTTTCGCTTCCTCCTCTTGCAAGCAGTGGCTCTGTACTCTCCTCGCTCGGCAGTTTTGTTTCCCATGCACCCCAGCACTGGGTTTCTCACAAGCTGTTGGTTCACAAGAGCTTCTGAACTTTGGGGTATCCTGTGTCTTTCACCTTCCAAGCAGAGCTTTGCAGCTTTGCATTCTTTGCAGAATGTTGAGGGAAGTGCAACCCTCAGTGAAATGTGGTCAAAGGTTTTTAAGAATTCTGAATTTCTGAGCAGTATTTATATTTTTCTCATGGTGCAAATGAGACATAGACAGTTTAGAACAGCTTAAAACCATGCAGATAGGGACCTGTGTGGTTTACTTGTTTTAAAACCTTGATTTTAAGCAAAAAGTGGGTTTTTTTCCCAGCATGGTGAGAACTTGCAGGTTGTGTTGTGGCAGCAGGCACCTTGGCTGTGCTGGGATCCCCTTGGGTGTCCTGTTTGGAAGAGCTGCTTGGGGTCAGGGTGCCACAAGGGAGCAGCTTGGGACAACAAGCTGGGTTTGGAGATGGGCTGTATTAAATTGCATTTCAATTTAGGTTTAAATTAAACTCTGGCAGCAGAAGTGTGGGGCAGTTTGGTGACTCGTTTGAGGTCACAGAGAAGAGGAAGAAAAATCTTTTGTGGCTTGAAGTGCAGAGCAGGCCTTAAGCTCCAGCTACTTTCATTTTCTCACCCTCCTGTCTCACATTCATTCATTTCCTTCTAATCTTGAACTCCAAACTGCTGGTGTGGTCGTGAATCACAATCTAAAATACATCATCTTTCTGAAAAACTGCCTCCTGACATGCTTCATAGAGCTGCTGGCTGCTGCTTTTTTATTGCATTTAAAAAAATACGAGCTGCAACAAGCTCTGATGTTAAGTGAGAAGCAGCCGTCATTGGTGTGACTGATATATAAAATTATTTCATTTTTTGGGGGCGGTATTCTTTTGGAGCTTAAAATTGTTTTTTCAGACCCAGTGCTCACAAACACATTTGTAGGAGGAAATGGAGAGCAATTGTGATTATTTGGTATCTCCAGTTCGTGGCTGGGGGGCCAAGCAGTGTGCTATAGATTACTGGAGTGGAAGAAGATATTTCTCCATTAGGAAGAGCTTGTGTTCTCGTTTCAGCTCTGTCATCAGTGCTGTCAGCGTGGCCTTTCATTTGCCAAGGAAACTGGAGAAGCCACAGAACATTTAGGTCTCACCATGGCAATTCTGAATCTCCCAAGTCAGTTTTAATTAATAAATGCTTTGGATTTATGTGTCTCACATGTGCCTGGCAGGTGCTTCCTTATACCTCATCCTATCCACCAGATCCAAGCTCCACAGGTTGCTTTTAGATCACAGAACTTTAAAAAAAAAAAAACAACAAACAAACAGAAATAACCAAATGCACATCTGTTATTTTATAACAGACTGAGCAGGAGGGTATGGGCATGCAAACATTTTCCTTCCTAAATGTAAAACCAGAGGTACAGTTTCCCTCGAAATGATTTTAGTTTTGCCAAGGAATGACAGATATAAACAGAGGTTGTTTCGTGGACAGACAAGTGATTTTTCTGTTTTAAATATAGCTCTGATTTATCTCTTCTAAATGGATTTCTGAGTGTAAATGAGCATACATTTCAGGCAGGATATTGCTGGCATTAATGCGTATGCATAATTTTATTTGCTCCATCAGTAACCTAAATGGGCTGTGAAAGTCAGCAGAGTCAAACTCGAGGCTTCAGCATAGGGGTGTTTATCTCATCTTGTGTTTCATCTCCTCTGACTCTGAAGCTGAAGCCTTGGTTGGAAACTCAGCTGGGCAGGACCATCCTGCCCATCCGCCCTCCTTGGGGGCTCACCCATCCTCTTCACCCGCCCTGCTCCGGGGGTGACCCCTCCTTGGAACCCGGTGCTCTGCAGATCCCATGCCTTGCTGAAGGTGCAGCTGTGTCTGGTTATTCAAACCAGCTCAAAACCCACCAGCAAATCTGCTTGTTTTCCCCAGCACACCTCCCTGTGTGTCTGTAAGCCTCATTCAGGATCCCCAAATCCTTGTGTGTATTTTCCCATGTGCGTGCCTGGGCGGGAGGAGGAGACATCCCCAAGCCCAAAATCCAGCCTGGGCTGTGCTGCTGCTCTCCTCAAACCCACCAAGGCTAATTCTCAAGGAGCTGGCATGAGCACACATCTGAGCCCCTGTTTTGCTAAGGAACAGCAGAAATAGATGATTTCTTTCCATGTTTTTGCAGGGTGTGTGTGTGTACATCCGTCGGCACACGCGTGTGTCCGCGCGTCCTCCGCCTGCCGAGCGGGGCTTGACGTTGAATTAGCTGCTGGCGGTTGCTAATGAGCCAAGGTTATGCTCCAGCTCTCTCTTGACAATAATAAAAAAGGGGGAAAAAAAAAAAAAATAAAATTTCTATTTCACGCTGAAATATTTGAGGTGGCAGTAAGAAGAGGAAAAGCAGCATTTTCTGACTCATCAAACTCTGCGCTCTGTTCCTCTGTGCATCGCCCACCTTTTCCACCCCCGAAACACACGCTTAACAGTCTGATTCATAAACATGCTACGGGTTGTGGGGTTTTTTTTTCTCCTCCTCCAAATCCTTTCCCTGAGGAGAAATGCGGAGGCATTCAAACCTTGCGAGCGACTTCAAATTTGGGGAGAGACTACACAAAGTTTTCGTAATTGACAAGGAAACTTGGGATTTTCATCTCTGTGCCATCCTCTGAGGTTACCTGCATCCTCACCTACCTCTAAAAAACACTGTGAATCAAGAGCAATGTTCAGAAAAACTGACATCTGCTGTCTAAGTGCTGCAGGAACCAGGGAAGGAAGATTTGCAGGGCAGAAATTCTGCTGTGGGAGAAGGGATTGTGCCTGCAGGTCTTGTGTTTACCCCTGGGGTTGGTCTGCCTTGTGGCGCAAGTGTTATTTCATGAATATTTTTATTTCATTGCTGGTCTTAATGCTGGGGGTGGTAGAGCTGGTGCTACAAAATACTGATTTAAGAGGAGCTGGAGGCACTGTGGATGCCCAGATGGCAGCTTGGGATGTGCTTCCAGTAAGGGGCTGGAATGGGTCCTCCAAAAACACCATAGCAGCAAAATACCCCCCTTCTCCCAGGGTAACCCTTTTCCTCAGTAATTCAGGTGTCTCTTTTGAAGTTCCTACTCCAGCCAAGACTTTATGGCCATCCTAGAGCCACACTTGTCATCACCACAAAGTCACACCTCTGCTCTTTGCCATTTCAGCATCACTGGTCTTTCTGTGTGTTTTAAGCCTTTTCTTATCTCCAGATCTGATATGAAGTGTTCCATTTCTGTGGTCGTCTCCCCCCTGAGTAAATCCCTGAAAAATCCTATTGATATTTAGGTTGCAAGTAAATTTTCCTTTCTACAGCTTCCCTCAAAGCCATT